AGTGAATATTTCACATATGTTTCATATGGTTTTGTACGAGCTTTTGTCAGATTTTAAGAGGTTTTTAGCCATTCTTAAGCCTCTTTTGGTACAAATTGCTTTAGTGTTGTTTAGTGATCAGAACTTGCAAAATGAGTAAATAAATGCATAAACATGTGATACTTTGTAGGTTATCGGTGTACGAAACACTTGCATAAGATAAAGGAGAAGCAAGATGCTAGTTGGAGGACAATGGACAAGTGAAACAAGGTGCGAAGATTGAGCAAAAGAGAGAAGAAATTGAAGATAAAAACATGGGAGATGGATCCGAGCTCGGATCCACTCCCATCCGAGCCCTCGTCTGATCATCTGGACAAGTGGATTCGAGGGTCAGGAGATCCGAGATCGGATCTCTTTGAAAATGGCTATGGATCCTCGTGATCCGAGCTCGAATAATATGTTTAGACCTCGGATCCAGGCCTCGGATCCTCCTCTTTCTTCTGCAATCTGCAGAACAATTGGTATTCAGTTGACACTTACTTTTTGACTTATGTTTCACACAAATTTCGGTTGGAAGCTGGCAGACCTCTTTGACATTTGAACCACCAATATGTGAAGACTTCAATGGGGGCAAATTAGTAAAAAAAAAAAAGGAAACAAAAAGACATTATTGGAGGGGGTAGTAGATCTAGATCTGGATATCAAATCAGAGGAGAGAATAAGAGAACAGAGAGGTGAGTCTGGTCTTGTTCTCTCTAGCTAGGAACTTTTGTGGAAAACAATTGGAGACCTCATTGTACACCATTTTGTTGAAGAAATTGAAGATCATTGGGAGCTTTTTCATTAACTTTGGCTCAGCTTTCTTTAATCTATCTTTTACCTGAGATTCATGATGTGTTCATACAATAAAGTTATGTGTTTTCTTGTTATATCTTACATGAGTAGCTAATTTTAGATCTAGGGAGTAAATGGAACTTATGGCTAGTTAACATGAAATGAATATGAGTTACACTTGTTATATCTTGTATTAACTTGTTTACTTGTAAATAACCATTGAGTTCATGAAAGAAAAGCTCGGCTAGGGTTGCCTGTTTTGGAAAGAAGAAGCAGCTAGGGTTTTCCTTTGGTTATGGCTGTTGCGGCAGCCCTTCCCCCGCTGGATGAAGGGCCTACGCCTCTGCCCACCAAATCATTTGCAGACATCCTCCGACAGCACCCGCGGCCACCTGCCACCCGGCCAAAGCGTCGTTCGTTCCCTTCACCTTGATCAGAGTTCTATTGTAAAGGAGGCCACCACTCACAAGGGCAAGCCAGCGGTATTTTTTTCTGAAGTAGAAGTGCGGGAACTTTCGAAACCGTTCCAGCATGCTCTAGTAGGGAAATTCTCAAAAGGGAGGCCGACTATGGAAGCGCTACGCAGAGAGTTCAAGGCTGTCGGTTTCAAAGGTGAGTACTCCATTGGCTTGCTCAATCCCCGCCATGTTCTGCTTCGGTTTGCTGGAGAAGAGGACTACCTGCGCTGCTGGCTACGTGGGATATGGCATTTTCAGGGGTTTCCAATGCGGGTTCTCAAATGGACGCCTCTTTTCTCTGTTGAGGTAGAATCGCCTGTGGTTCCCATCTGGGTCTCGTTCCCACGTTTGCCCGTACACTTCTTCAGCAAGGGTCCTCTATTTTCCATTGCTCGGCTCATTGGGGAGCCCCTAAAACTTGATTCTTCTACTGCTTTCCTAACCCGACCTGGAGTGGCGAGATTCTGAGTCAAAGTTAACCTCCAGGAGGAGTTGCCAGAAAAGGTATGGATTAGCAATGGCCACGCAGGGTTTTGGCAACATGTTGAGTATGAAAATCTCCCCGTCTACTGCTCCTTTTGTCACAAGATAGGCCATGATGATGCCAACTGCCGCAATAATCCAGAGGGGCATCAAGGGCAGCCGCAATGTCAACCTATCAAGCACACTGAAACCCAGCAGGTCTGGAAAGCCAAACCTGCAGCACAACAAGTAGAAGAGGTAGCAGGACCAATCACAACTATGGAGAACCAGCCAGCAAGGGATCGTTTTCAGCCACATGCAACTGCAAAAGCCGCACCAGCAGCAGCGACAGTGCTATGCACATCCTACGCAGTGGCGAATGGTGCTGGGAGTCTGCACGACCTCGGTGCACGGCCAAGTGCACTAGCGGTTGGGCCTACCGTTGTCGTGGCTGTAGCAAGCCAAGACAGCTTTCCAGCTGGAGACTCCCGTGAGAACAGCAGCTCGAAGGGCTCACCTGGAGCTAACCTTTCGGACCGCATACTTGATGATCAGTGCCTTTTGCCAAAGCGACGCTGCCGTGTTGATACTCTCTTCGACGCGGAGGAGCCATATCTAGAGAAGCCCAGGCATGTACTGTTGAAGGAACTTTCGAGTTTCAAGGAGCGGATGGATCACATTGTCCCAATCCGAGGCAGCCACACCATGACCAAGCGAGGAAGGCAACCCTGTTTCCTCAATTTGCCCAAAATAGTTATCACCAGACAATCGGCAAAGGCAGCTGCGCCCGCTTCACCCCCTCATCTTTTTAAATGATTAACACACTTATCTGGAACATACGTGGCATGACTGGCCGCATGTCAGTCAGACGTCTGAAAAAACTAATGGGTATGCACTCAATCTCCTTCCTAGTGATAATAGAACCAATGGTAGATGTGGCTCGGCTTGATGAATTTCGGATAAAGTTTGGTTTTCACCTTGTGATAAGTAATATAAGTAACAAATTCTAGGTGTTATGGAAGCCAGAATTCACAGTTAATATGTTGCTTAATTCGGAGCAACTCCTCCATGTAGCAATCACACATGTGTCATGGTCGAGTGAGGTTCGTTGTTCCTTTGTTTACGCTAAATGCATAGCAACAGAAAGGCGTGGCCTTTGGAATGATTTATTGACACTCTCGACGAACTTGAGGTCTAGGCCATGGATTGTGGGAGGGGATTTTAATGTGATAGCATCGGAAGACGAATACTTGGGGTGCGCGCCACAGGATCTGTGAGACCCCGATTAGTCCTTAATTTTGATATTATGTGAAATAAAGAGCATTAGCATCATTTTTACTGCAAAATTTGGTTTTAGGGTTGGTGGTAATCCTTTAACTGTTATTTTGTTCTAAATATTTAGAAAATCCTAATTTGGGTTATTACTAAAACCCTAGTTTTCGTATTAATCACAAGTTTATGCTGGAGTTAATATTAGGCATACTAATGTATGTTTTTGTATAGGTAAGTATAGGATTTGATTTATTTTACAAAGGTTAAGTAGGTTTAAAAAGCTAGAAAATCCTAAACTAGTAAAACCTCTAATTTTGCTAATGTCAAAAAGGTTGTTGTTTAGTTGCTTATATGTAGGATAAGGTATGATTAAGAAGGGGTGGTTAAGATAGGAGGGTGATTAGTGAAGCGATTAAGTGGGATTAAGCGTTTTAGACTAGATTAAGTATGTATCCTATGGAGTTAATTGAAAGACTTCCATATGTTTGTAGGCAAAAGAGTAAGAAAGATAAAGTGAAGTTGTAAGGGCTAAGAAGCAAAATGCAAACTTTTGTGTGATTGGTTGAGGTGAAAATATCTTCTATGGGCTTTGACATAGGAAATACAAGCTAAACATAAGTTATTAAGCAAACCAACACCAAAGAGAGAGAGAGAGAGAGAGGGCCGAGAGCTTGCACAAGAGAGGAGAGAAAATTCCTTCCAAGTTCATCCACCTTTAGCCATCCATCTTGATCTTGGAGCTTAGGGAAGCATCATTGGCACTTGATTGTTGTGATTTCATCACTTGCAAAGTTTTGTTGAAGGTAAACCATCTCACTTGAAAGTTAACTTTTGGTGATTTAATCTTGAAGCTATGAAAGTGATGTTCTTGTGAGAACCCTGAAAATAGACATATAAATATCAGTGCATATTTTATTTACATTTTAATTCTCTAATAAATGTTAGCACTAAGTCCAATTGTTTTTAAATGAGTACGTAGAAATAAACGTTAGGTGCAAAATAAAAGAATTGTGCTAAACTACTAAACTTCTTAGTTTTGTTACATTAACTTCATATTTCTATGGTAAACTATTTCATTGATTTAATAATTAATTTCTTTGAATTCTAGTATTGTAATTAATTGTTTTGCAATAAAAGTGTAAAGATAATTTCTATGTAATAAATAATATAATTGTGCCAATATTGAATTATTCGGTTTGCTATACTAAATTAATATTTCTTGAGTTGGATTAATTCTATTACTTTAAAATAAATTCTTTGATTTCCGATAACTAGTTTTAATCGTTAATAATGTTAAATGTTAATAGGAATTTCCGCGTTAAGATGAAAACCAATGAATTTTAGATAAACATGATACTAATATACTAAACATACTTAAGGCGTGAAAATTTCGATAATTATAGTCTTATCCTTCTTTGTTTTCACAATAAGTGCGTAAAAATAATTTTTATGTGCAAACTGACACACTTGTATTAAATTATTATTTCACTTGACTTTATTATACTAAAATGATAAATTTCGAGTTAGATTAACTCTAATTCTTGAGATATAATAATTGGAAATTCTAATAACTAATTCAATCGCTAAATAATATAAGAATTACTAGGAACCTTAATATTCAAGTTTAATCGATTATTATTCGATAAAAATGGTTTAGGTATATTAGGATATGATTAGACGTTCAAATTACACTTGGGGATAATTTTTAGAATTAAGTCGGAATTGGGAAATTAAGTTGAGGTTAGGGAGCAAAGTGAAAAGACTAAAATGCCCTTACAAATTCCATGCAAACCAAACCAATCCTCTGACCGCAAGTTCAATTACCGCAACTATTACCAATTTTGTACGCAACCCATTTCTACACGCAAACCATTCTCATAAACCGCGGCACCACAATACCATCCTTTCTATCTCACGGCTAAAACCACAAAACCATTCACTCTAATTCACATTTCATATCACAAACAAAACCGCAAACCATTTATTTCTTGATACCGAGATACCACTCTTCACCAAATCTCATTTCCTCTGCACAACTCAACCTCCTCCACCCACGAATCATCTTCACTTCACCCCACCTCGTGACCATCGAAGGAAAGGAGAGTGAGAGGGACGTAGCTTCGGTATCATCGACAAGAAAAGAAAAGGAGGAAAACCGCGAGCTGAAGTATTTTTCTGGTTTGTCCGTGAGTTGATGGAGAGATCTGAGAGCCAAACTTCATCCAATCCAGCCGCAAGTTTGAGCAAAGGAGAGGAAGATTTGCGGGCTGCAATTTCTGGATAGCCGAGAGGAAGAAAATTTTGCAGCTGATTGTCGTGTGAGCTAAACCTTAAGCTGAGGTAAACTCTGGTCCTAGACTAGCTAATTAGAGATAAATGAGTTGTTTAAGAGCTTGTATGTAATGGTTAAGCACTTGGACGATAAAATCAAAGAATAAGAAATCTGATTTTAACGGAGATGGTTTTGCCGAGAGCCTGTTCAGAAAATGCAGTCCTTAATCTGCTTATTTGAACAATCTGAGCTCATAAATGTAATGAGCTAAGTAAAAATCAGATGATTAAGTCTTGCATGAGGTTAATCAGTCGGCTAAGCAAGAAATAAGGATGTAACAAAAGAATTTGCTGCATGCAAGAGCATCCGAGAATGGTTGAACAAAATTCTGGAATTGAGGATGTTTATAGCTGCTGACCGAACTTGTTCTGAACTAGATATGATAAGTAACTTTATTGGGTAGCCTCGCATGTCAATTTTGGGTGTCTAATATAATGATCCAGCCAGGGAAAAGTTTACATCTTATGACCATTAGCTGCTGGCATTTTTTTTGTGATAGCCGAGAGCTTGACTTGAATAATGCAGCCTTAATTGGTTTAATCCTGTTGTTCTGAGCTTATAACCGTGATTAGCTGGGTAATAACAAGATAAGTAAGCTTTTCATGTAGTTAATTAATTGGGTTAAAACAGAAAAATTAATTGAAACAGAAATTCACTGCATGCTTGATCATCCGAGGATAGCTGGAAAATTTCTGGAATTTTGGAGATAATTATAACTGTGATTTGAACTCGATTTCTGAACTGGAAATGTTTATTTTCTAGCAAAGTAATTGCATGAGGAAGTTGAGAGTTTAAAAGCATGTTTTAACCAAGAAAATAAAATGAAAACAGAAAGTTTCTTCATGCATGTTCAACCGTGACTAGTTGGACAGATTTATGGATTTTTCTGGATGATTTTAGTTGCTGAATGAATCTGGTTTTGAAGTGGAAATTTTTAATAGCTAGCTAAGTGTTTAAATGCTGAATTTGAATACCTAACACCCTGTTTAAACCAAGGTAAAAACTGGACCTAAAGTATATTAGTTGCTGGAATTTCTTATGTGATAATTAAAGGTTGAGTTGGGATCTTAACTTGATTTTTAAATTTTTCCCTGAATCTTGATGGATGGAAATGTCTGGAAGTTGTTGTTTTGGAGTTCTATAAGAAGTGTATGGATGGTTGAATAAAAACATTTTGATGTTAAAAGAGAAAAAGGAGTTTTTCACAAGTGAAGAATGAAACTTCAGATTTTCGGATGTTCCTGACCAGTTTCAGTAAAATGCTTATATCTTGGTGTAGAAAAATCCGTTTAAGGCGCCGTCAGTGGCATTTGAAACTAGAAACATAGGCCTTTGTCCTGTAGAAATTTCGTATTTTTCCTCCATGTATACTACTGTCCGTGATTCCTCAAAGTAGGCTGTCCTGTTTGAATGTCCTGTTTCCTCAGGAAACTGAATTCTTGACTTGGATAGAATATTTGGCCCATTTGTGATTTGAATCTCTGAAAAGTGTCTTCTGGGATGTGATAGTATTAAAAATCTATTCTACAACAGTATAATTTTCATAATTGTTTGATTTGTGGAACATGAACTAAAGCAATTTTTGAAGGAAAATATTTTTCCAGCATGACCGAACTGGTTGGGACTTTTGGTGAGTTTATTTGCTGGATTTGTGTATTATTTACTTTAGCTTGGTTTGGACAGATTATAATCTATATGTATAGTGATTCTAGCAAATAAAGGTGGAAAGTTTAATGGATATTTTAGATTCTTGGAATCATTTGGATCTCAAGTTGGTTGTAGTTTTTGTTCTTGTTTTGAATGAATTGGTATTTGAAAGTGTGTATTGGTTGTCAAGAACTAATGATTGATGAAGCCCTTGGCCATTTGAATGATTTTATAAGTAATACAGGGTGATGGAAGTTAATTGCTGGAGTGTCTTGGAGGCTTTACTTTTATTTTTAATTGTTTATGATGGGCTTGCTGAAACCAAGTGCTAATGATTGATGAAGCCTTGGTTGACTATTTTATTTTATTCAGAGACGCACTTGTTGAAATCTAGGGCTAATGATTGACGAAGCCCTAGTAATTTGCTATGTGATTTTTGCCATGTTTTGATCCATATTATGACTTCGAAACGGAATCGGGGCTGTGGAAGTTGTATCGACCTTGCGAACTCGAGTAACTGTGATCAAATTAATCAAAAATATTTTTCCAGCTAGTATTATATTATAAAACTCCATATCTAGTGTTTTGCCTAAAACTTTCCAACTCGATAATTTCCTTTAGCTCAAACTAGCCTTGATAGCTATAGTAAATAAATTCTATAGCTTTTGAAAACCCTAAGTCTTATTCCTTTTCTTTTCATTAAGTATTTTCTTAGCTAGTTAACTATAGGAAAAGTTCCAAAATATGAGTTTTACTAATTTTAGCGAAAAGCCTGGAAAACTTGCTCGGCAAGAAACCCTATTTTAGGAAAAATAGTTTTTAGGGATAATTTTTGCAAAGGCCGTAACTTTAAAGAAAGGTTCAAAGTAACTTTCTAACATTGATATTAAGAGGTTTGTCGAATTATTTCAAGAAAGTAATACTAGTTACCCTTTTACAAGAGAGGTAGCTCAAGGAAAAATAAAAGAAACAATGCTTCTACTTTCGTCAAGATTCAACCTATGGAAATTCTTGATTTTTCTAAGGGAAAGTAAACTAGTAGTATATTAGATATACTTCAATGACTATAAGCTTAAAAACTGAGAAGAAGCTCATAGTTTCAAATTTTGGTTTTAGGATATTTCGAGGACGCGGAATTCGATTCCCAACTTGATATCTGAACTCCACTCTTGGTGAGTGTCCCTGCTTGTTTTATGTTTATGTGGTTAAGCGCTTTATCAACTCGTTATGTGATAATTGTCAAAATGAAATAAATGGTTTTTGATCCATCGAAGTGAGCAGTGTGTACTTTATCGCACTAGCCGTTCGAGTGGTGACGTGTGTGAAACATTTTCTAATGAATCCGTGAATCTAAATGTAGTTGCGTCGTTGGGTGAATCCCTCGACTCGTGAATCCAACTACCAAACATATGAATCCGTGAATCTAAATGTAGTTGCGTCGTTGGGTGAATCCCTCGACATGTGAATCCAACTACCATAACGTCGTTGGGTGAATCCCTCGACTAATTTTATACGGGTATATCTCGAGTATACTGCGTCGGTAGGCGAAATTCGGGCCCGAAGCAGAGGTATGAACGGTGACGGGTTAGGATTAAAATAAGTGGATCTACATGGACTATAAGTAGTGAAAGTTGACGGAGGGTCAACTATGAGGGTATCTGATCAAGCGAGGAGAATGGCTCCCGAGAGCCCCTGTATCCTACCTTGTGCGGTTATACGCTTTCTTAATTGATTAAATTTGTTTAAATTGTTATCCGTTGTTTGATTTATGTGATTGCATGTTTTGGGGCACCACTGAGCTTTAGCTCACCCCACGTTTATTGTTTTCCTTAACAGGTCCTGGAAACTGAAAGCCTTGAACTTACTTATGTTTCTTTTCTTTTGGATGTAATGGATATTACGGCTATTGTGTGGGTTGTATTATGCTTCAACTTGAATTATGTACTTTTGTTTTAGATTGCCACTTGAAGCTGGAAAAGTGTAAAACCTAATTTCGATATCTGGTTTGTATGAATTTTATTTGTATATCCGAATCGTACGACCCTATTCCCTGGTTGTAACGCATGGGATGTTTAGGAGCCGTTGACTGGCTGTTTTAAATTACTGCTATCTCTGAAGTTAATGTAGATTTAAGGATGATCCTATTCGGGAAAAATTGTTTTGTAATAGATTAGGTTGTTATTCTGAAGGATTTGGGTTAGAATGCTTGCGTGAGTCCTGGCAAGAGCTGGGCAGACGGCCCGCCAACCCTTTGGTTCGCCTCAGGGGGAAGTGGGGTCGCCACAGTTCTTGTTGTGGTTGTGAATTTTTATGGTTTATATGGTGATTATAGAGTAGTTTAATGGTTTATTTTGGTAGTATTTTGTTGCATAAATTTCGGTCAAGGCTAGGGAAATTAGGGTTTCTTGCTTCATGATTCCTTAAGTTGGTTTGGTTGGTTATTTGGCTTGCTAATGGGATCTATAGTATGATAATTTCACTTGTATGGTTGATTCTTAGCAAAATCTGATTTGGTCATGAAACCCTAGTTTAATGGAAAGTTAGTTTGGCTTAGCTAGGGCTTAGATGGTTAGGGTTTGATTGGTTAGGTTTGGAGGTTAGTTGGACTTGTAAGATTAAGAGTATAGAATATGGTTAGTGTTTGCTAGGTTTTGAGGTTAGGTTGGGGAAAGGATTTCGGGTTTCTTGTAACACCATTAGGAGATGGTATGTGTGTGTTGTAGTGGTGTGGCAATGGTTAGAAAACTTGCATGCGATGCTTGTATGTGGACTACACGTTTGCGCCACGGAAATAGCCTAAACCAGAAAAACAGGACAGTGCAATCCTGCAGCTTTGGTTCCATTTTTCATTGGAACCCGTGCTGATTCAGTTTTTGGCCAAAACACGAAAGTTATAGCCTTATAACTGAGCATTCCAACGCCTTTGGGATTTCTTGATTCGGATCTACGAGTCCTGAGTTATGGTTGTTCAAATAGGTCCTTTTCGACAACCTGAATCTAAACGGCTGGGACTGTCTTGTGCACTTTTGCCCTAGTTCCGTTGAGATCTGGGTTGAAGGGCCTTCATGAAAGTTGTAAAGGTTTGAGTGATCTGTCGATCTGCTAAATTTCAGAGCATTTGGACATTGGTAGCATACAAAACGATCCCAACGCTCTAAACTGTCTGGATTGCCTAAGACAGTTTCTGTTGGCTATTGTTTCTTCCTATTTTGATGAGGATGAATCCTATTTTAACTCTTGATGTCTTCATAAAAGTTGTGACTCGTTCTCTTAGCTTTGAAACGGTGTCTCATACACCTTAATCCGACATTCATAGCCTAACTTATGGTCAAAATGGTTTGGGGCGGCAAATCTGCCGTTTCCGTTTTCGACGGCCGTTTCCGTTTCCGTTCGCCGTTTTCGCGCGCGCGTGTCTGTTTTGCCGTTTTTGCTTGATTTACGCATTTTAATAGCTGTTTGTGGAATAATGTGGTGCAATCTTCTATTACAGACGGTAGCAGGCTAGGCGGAGCCAGTGGGACCTGTTAGCTGTCGCACGCGACGTGATTTTCGCACTTTTGCTATACTTGTTCTTTACGTAAGTATTCAGGCCGCTTGTATGTATAAATCGCTTATATGCTTTAATGTGGATGAAAGGGTATTTAGGTGAGGGCATACTTTATCACACTCGACTTAAACCCTAATTTGCACCTGTATTTGTACATGACATGCGTTTATGAATTGTTTTGGGACTGAACCCCTGGAGCTTGTCGCTCAGGGTGACTTTTTGAAATATGATGAGTTTGGGGCCCGATCTCAAGACCTAGACAGACTATTCGAGCCAGTCGGGGCTTGGTCGAAGTCAGTCCAACCTAGTCTTGAGGTCACCACGTTTGTGAACCAAATTCGATTTCGTTTTGATTGCTTGAGCCATTCTTGAAGGCGAGATTGATCGGATGGTGGTGGCACTGTTTGACATTCTAATTATTGCTGTTTTGCAGGTTTAAATTACAAAAATACACACTGGGGCAATTAATTTTTCTAAGTCAAGATGGTTTCCCTCATTAGAACTTTTTTTACGCAAAGACATTTTGCAAAAGTCTTTTCATACTTCATTGGGACCGGGTTTCATCCCGCCAATCTCGGCAGGACCGGGTTTTATCCCGCTGACCGTTCATACTTCATTGGGACCGGGTTTCATCCCGCCAATCTCGGTTTTAGCTGACCGGGTTTTATCTCGGCAGGACCGGGTTTTATCCCGCTGACCGTTCATACTTCATTGGGACCGGGTTTTATCCCGCCGACCTCGGCAGGACCGGGTTTTATCCCGCTGGCCGCTTATATCGCGTTGGGACCGGGTTTTATCCCGCCGACCTCGGCAGGACCGGATTTTATCCCGCTTTATACTTCATTGGGACCGGGTTTTATCCCGCCGACCTCGGCAGGACCGGGTTTTATATACTCCCGGGTTTATCTGGTTTTATCTGGCCCCGCTTTATACTTCATTGGGACCGGGTTTTATCCCGCCGACCTCGGCAGGACCGGGTTTTATCCGCTGGCCGACCCCCGCAGGACCGGGTTTTATCCTTATACTTTTATCTGGCCGGACCGGGTTTTATCCCGCTGGATACCGGGTTATCCCGCCGACCTCGGCAGGACCGGATTTTATCCCGCTGGCCGCTTATACTTCATTGGGACCGGGTTTTATCCCGCCGACCTCGGCAGGACCGGGTTTTATCCCGCTGGCCGCTTATACTTCATTGGGACCGGGTTTTATCCCGCCGACCTCGGCAGGACCGGGTTTTATCTCGCCGACCTCGGCAGGACCGGGTTTTTATCCCGCTGGCCGCTTATACTTCATTGGGACCGGGTTTTATCCCGCCGACCTCGGCAGGACCGGGTTTTATCCCGCTGGCCACTTATATCGCGTTGGGACCGGGTTTTATCCCGCCGACCTCGGCAGGACCGGGTTTTATCCCGCTGGCCGCTTATACTTCATTGCGACCGGGTTTTATCCCGCCGACCTCGGCCGGACCGGGTTTTATCCCGCTGGCCGCTTATATCACGTTGGAACTGAGTTTTATCCCGCCAACCTCGGCAGGCTCGGGTCTAATCCCACTGACCAATTCATTACACTGGGGCAAATTTTTGATAATTTTTCAAGTAAGTCTTATACAGTTTCTTCATACATACCAGCATTTCTACTGCCGCTAGCCGTTGGGTCAGTCCCACTAGTGCGCATTTCTTTCATTCGGCCACTAGCCGTTGTGTCAGTCCCACTAGTGCGCCCTTTTCTTTTATTCTGCCACTAGTCGTGGGTCAGTCCCACTAGTGAGCGTTTCACTTTTATTGCCACTAGCCGTTGGGTTTGTCCCACTAGTGTGCAGTCCCATGCTTAATATCCCGTGGGTCTATCCCGTTTACATTTCTGTCCGGGTCTATCCCGTGGGTCTATCCCATTTACATTTCTGTCTGGGTCTATCCCATTTACATTTCTGTTCGGGTCTATCCCATTTAAATTCCTGTTCGGGTCAGTCCCGTTTTAAATTTCTTGTTCGGGTCAGTCCCGTTTTAAATTCCTGTTCGTTGGAATCCTTTTGCTGCCAAATAACACAGGTGAGTATTTGGTGTCTACTTCTTTGTCTCAAGTTTTTTTTCAAAACTCGGACAAAGAGGGGCAAACTGTAGACACCAAAATTTTATTGGAATTCTTTTACTATTTATTTTTTACTTATTATTTTGTCGTGTCAGTTTTATTCACTTTTTAGTTTTTAGTTTTTTAGTTTTTATTTTTATGTTATTATTTTATTCTTGGAGTTTTAGCATAGAATTTCTCGAAAAGGAAAAAAGAAGAGAAAAGCATTCAAAAATACGCTTTAGTTGTTTTTATTCAAATTCAACGTTTTCTTGAAAAAGGGGGGAAATGAAAAAGGATGAAAAATGAAAAAATGAGGAAAAGAAAAGAAAAATCGCACTTTGTTGCTTCTAATTTATTTATTTTTATCCAATGATTAATTAAATTATTTTTTTTTATTTATTTTTATTATCAATCTTGTTTTAATTAATTTCAAAAAAAAAAAAAGAAAAAGAAAAAAGATACCCGGCATGCAAGCTGCATATTTTTCGCAGCTTGGAAAGGACAGATATATACCATCGGATGGCCTGGGTTGGGGAGGGATCTCCTCTTCCATCCTCACCCTTGAGGTGAGGGTTGGTCTCCTATAAAAGAAAGAAAAACAGCAGCCGCAAAGGAGGATTTTTTTTGGAGAGGTTGACGGCTAAGAGAGGTTCTTGGAGTGGACAGATAGAGAGCTGGGGTTGGAGGACTGAAAAAAGGCTGACGGTGAGGTTGTGGAGAGAAAGGAGACAATCTTCAGAAATCAGACCTAAAGCTCGGAGCTTCAAAGCTTTCTGTCAAAGCTCGCGACCTGGACTCGTTGAATCTGGCTTATCCGAGCATCCCCACGGTGGTTTAACTCCAAAGGCAGCAAAAGAGGTAATCTTAAACCCTTCTCTTGCCTATTTCTTCTAAACACTGGGACGTGGGCTTCTTGTTCGTTAGCATAACTAGTGTCTGGGTCATCAGTGTGCTTTGTTTGTCTGCAGAATGCATTGTTTGCTAGCATAACTTCAGTAGTTGCGTTTTGAAGCTTGCCGAGCCTGTATCTCATGACCTTGTTTTTGAAAAGCTTCCTTTTTGTTGTCTATTTGTCCGCCTTTTTCTGTTTCATGTTCACCAAGATCCTGTTTCGTTGTTTGTGAGTAAAAGGCCAGATCTTGTGATTATACGTGAGTATGATGTGTACTCCGAAATTTTTTGTGATTTGAAATTGTAAGAACTCAAAAAGCTGTCATCTTTCGTGCTTCCTTTCTCCTGGTGAAACTGAATGTATGATTCGTAGGTTGCAATTTTTGTTTCCAATAGTTTGTTTGCGTAACATGAACCTCTGCTGCCACAAGCTCGAAGCT